AGGCGTGTATCACAGCACGTGCGGCCTGTTAACGACGGGGCGACCGGCACCAAACAGAAAAGCCTATTAATAGAAGTAAGCGCCAGGGGCAAACGAACCTTCAATCTGCCGGCTTCGAGTTTGATCAGGCAGTAATCCGTCTTGCCAGCAGCCAATAGCAGCATAGCATCGGCGAGATGAGTTCGGAACCGGAAACTGATGTCAGTAGCACCTTTGGCCTCTTGAACCGGAAGATGGATGTAGCTCGCCCCGTAAAACGACACTGCAAGTTTAACAAATTTAATGCGTTTAGGTGGTACAAAGTGGATGACCGATGATGCGCGTTATTATATAGCGGGCAATTGGTGTGAGGAAAAGAGAGACGGAAAGAGAGGTAGGAAAATGCGCTATTAACGTTGCGCAATTCTTCATTTTAATTTGCGTAATGCTGTAAACGTTCTCCTTCTCCCTCCCACGCTTATTTTCCCGACGATTCCAGACCGGTTCTGGAAATTATACAGTTTTCTCATAAGCGACGCGAAGATGATGTCGTTATTACTGTTGATTCGCATTTTGCGGTTCGCTGATTAATATAGTAATAATTAAAATATGAGTTAATGCAAAAAAAAAACGATATAATTGTTGAAGCGAACAATCTATTCTATTTTTGCGTAAAACAAGAAGTAAAGTGAATACGTTGCTGTCGGCGGCACAAGACCTCATTTTTCTTCGGTGCCGAGGAAGAGAAATTAAGTGTCACTCGAGAAGTTTTATTTCGTTCATCTGTTTCTCCGATAACTTTTGAATTGCGAGCTGAAGTGGCTTTCTTCAGGAAATTTCATATATTTATCGTACCGCGCCGTAAGCAGCGGTAAATAAGTAAATAAGCTGCGACGACTTCGAAGATAAACAACAAACTAGTACGATTTTGCAAATCTTATAAGGTTCATGCTAGTCTTCTAACTCCATTTACCCATTGCTAAAGACAAATATTAGTTTTTCAACTACATGCGATTCCCATAACGATAGAGAGAATAATTAATCGGAATCTAGTTTTAAATAATAATTTATCATTAATAAATTTATCATAATGTTAAGTATTAAAAAATACACAAAACGCTCTATTGCAATTTTATATCAAAGAGTCTGGCGTATATTTTTATTAATTTCCATAAATCGCAAATCTTTATTCCATCATTTGAAAAGTAATCTCATAAATAAATTCATCAATAACATAACCCGTTATCATTCACCCGAATAATATATTATGTTTAGGCAAAAAAAAATGAATTTTTTTTTACATTAGTAGACGTATAATAAAACTTTTATTTCCGCGTAAAATCGTTTTTCTACACTCACATCAACTGTCGTTTGCATATGTCAGAACAGTCATCGTGTCGAAACAAAAGAACGATATTTCCAAATAAACGCGCTCTTGGATAGTTCAAAGCCTTTTTTATTTATTGGTATGTTTAAACCGTGGGATAGAGATGAAAAACGTCACTTTAAATTGACATGTTTAGTTACCGAATAGTGAATGAATATAGATGGTTCCGACGATCCAAAAGCGTAGATAGATTATAGAGAGTCGCGTATAGCGATTATTAATCGCAATACTTCGAAATTTATCCCTGACTTTCTAAGTTTTCCAAGTCTATTATAGCCAGCACTCGCTCGAGCTACTTCATTAACAAAAGCGGTGGAAGTGGACCTGGCGGCAGGTTGATGAATGGATCGTCAAAGTTCTCCGAGTCTCCGGGGGACTGTTTCTGTGTGGACTTAGACATCGTTTTACAACGGTACAAATATCGCTTTTGCGAACCGAGTAAAAAGTGATAAATAGACAATTCGCGGTTGAAGTCCGCAGAGTCCCCGATGGATCTCCCGGGGGGTGCTCGGGCCATTACGACTGTAAAATATTCTCGATTAGCGAGAGCACGTTACTGAAACGGATGCAAAAGAAATACGTCGATGCTTCGGTTCAGCCGATGAATGGCCGGCTTCAACTGTCTCAAACGAGCAATGAGAAAATCCCGTATCTCGTAGCGCGCCGTATATAGATACATATAAAGAAATGAATGAAGGTTGCCGTTTTATTTTTCACCCCCGCAAATGATCTAAGAACGCGTTCAAGTACGTAGAATAACTGCACGGGCCATTAAGTACGAAGAATCTCCCTTTCTCCCTTGCCCCCTTCTCTCTTTCTCTCTCTTTTCTCCCGAACCACCTCCTTCTCGGTTAGCTGGTACATAGAAACATTAACGTCGACCGCGAAATCGATCCTAGGTATTGCCCTCGGTGTTTTGCAGTTCATTGCACCGCGGCTTACTCAATTCGCGATTATCCACGAATCGCAATATTTGCGTACGCTCAAAGAGGCGGCCCGATGTAGAAGCGTTGATGCTCGTCAACCCTTTCGCGCGACCCACCAACCGCGTACTTAAAGCCGCAAGCTCCCAAGTGTGTTATTAATATTTGCAGAAATTATTAACTTGGAAACTAAATAATAATAATGGAGTTTCGAAAAATCGAATTCTTTAAAATATCAAGTTTACTTTCAAAAAGTCAAACTTCAATAAACTTTCCGTTTAATAGCATTTTAATTTTCTGAACAATCACAGTAAGAAAAAAAACTTACTTTTCAAATATATAATTCACGGATACCATTAAAGATTGTAATGAATAATTTTAGCTTAAATCGATAAAGAAAAAAAATAGACAGATGTATTCTTATATTTATAACACGTATTTTTTTCAGAATAAATGAGCAAATTTCAACTTTCAGAAACGTCGCATGTGTTTTACATTCGTATCTGATTGCATATTTTGAAATATGTTTGAAATATACGCTTGACAACTGTCCATATATAGATCGTTATTCAAATCGTACACCTGATACGTATCCAACGATACGTACGGTTACGGTAATTACGATTCTCGGCTGTATATATGGATCGAAAACGTACGTACGTATTCGATTGTTATTCGATGGGTTATTTGTTTTGTAAAATTACAAAAAAATCGAGATCCGCTTTTCCAGTAGAAAATAGTATGATTGTTACGTAAAAGAGATCGAGTTAATCATGCGAATACATTTCGTCAGTGATGTTCCATGAATTTCGGTTATAAAGAGAAATTTATTTTATAGCAGAAAATTAAATAATAAATTGAAACTTGCCGACTCGTATGTACACGCAGAGTGTATTACGTAGTTATTTCACAAACAGTTTATCAGATCATGTTGTGATCTGGCGCAACATCGAAATATCATTTCGCACATTCGCGTAGATGACGGATTAGTCAAAATGAAAAATTGTACGTCACACTTTTCAGTAAAAGTGGATCTTGTCAGTGGAAATTTTTTTCTTTCGCGATACAAACGACAGTTAATACTTACAATAGATTTAATGTATCCGACCGTTATTATTAATTACAGATTAAGTGATCGCACCAATCTCCCATAATTTTACGGATGTATCTCAGATCGAATTTTCCGCATTTTCCCCTATTGGTTACATATACTGATTGCATCGAATTTCGGTAAATACGCTTGACCTGCATTCGGTCCTGCATAGCCCAGAATAATTGTATAAAGGCACAAAATTGGGCCATATTACATACCATATATACGAAGTACGAGGGCGCATTTTTCAGCTTTTATAATTATATTTTTCTTTGCGAACTGTAAAGCTCCTCTCGCGTTACATTACATTCGTAAGCGTAATTGGCCGGCGGCGTTCGAGAAAAAGTATATAATGCATTAACGCGCGATGTTGGTCGCGATGTACCTCACGATGTGACCGGCAAATGGAAACTACCTCGTAAGGTTTCATGGAAACTGCGGGCATTCCATTCCCTGACGATTCTTTCAATGGCTATCGAGAGTTGCACGCGAAAATAAAAATAAATAAATTACGAAGTTGATCATCTTGCTCAACGTCAATTAGCAATCAATACTCAATGGCACGTTGTACCGTGAAAACAAGTGTAATCAGGTTAAAGGATAGATTAGACGGGATTATGAGTATGCTTCTTATGATTCAATCCGGAATTATTCATCATTGAAATACGAAGAAAACAGTTTTGCTGACAAATCTAAAAATGTGGCCAAATACAGATCTGAAAATTCTGTTGGATTATCAAAATTATTATGTAGGACGCTTAAACACTTGATAAAATGCAAAATGTAAAAATTTTGGATCTTTTAACGACCAATTTGAACGTCGTATATAATAACTTTGAAGGCCCAACAAAATTAATTTCAAATCTGTATCTGATCAAATTTTTTTAGATTTACCAGTAAAATTGTTCTTTCCACCAGAAGAAATCCCAAGTGGACTAAAGTGGCATTTTTTTCTTTTTTTGTATTTGTGACAATATCTACAGTGACAATATCTCATTATGATCAACTGCGCACTTAGAAATACGTGTAAACTCTTATTGGTTTTTATCTTATTATTGCAAAAATATTTTATCGCGTTCTGGTACACACTCTTTTAGCATACCTTCGCGGGATATAAACCGTATGACCGGTACGCAAAAAATACGGTACGCAGTCGATGCGCCGTGGCCGCGTAACAACAGTGAATTTCTGTCTCTCTCGATGTGCATTTTTGTTTTTTACAAAAATATGTATCCAGTCGGAACCGCCGGAACGTGTAAAAACAAATGCGTGATATACCACGCGGCGCGATGCGACGTCTCGCACGCGCCACGCAAATTAATCCGACAAACGGAAAACTGATTAGCGAGCAGCAGGTATCGCGAACTCATTTTGTTTCGGGACATTCCGGCATACGTTTTGCGATAAAAAGAAATAAAATTTCGCACTGGATTAGCCGTAAATAACATAAAATGCACGTTGCCAATCGTTTCTTGACTGTTACAGCACACGTTACTTGCTCGTGGAAATTATTCGACTGGAATTGTTTAATTACATAAACAGACCATGAAACGTTCGCTCGATTATTTCCAAATTATGTACGCGTACAAGAAACAATTGACAAAAATTTCAGAAAAAGAGTTTACAATATGCGAGTGTGTACGAATTGAATTGGTACGGAAATACGCGACACGACACACGACTATTGATTGTTACGAGTAGGCTAGCAAAGCTTTTTTTTAGAGTTCGATGAAAGCATGGAACGTTAACAATTTTCTGTTTGAACTTGCACCGTACGCATGAGTATCGCAATCGGACCGTTTTGTTAAATTCAGAGCAGTTTGCTAAGGTATAGGACCGGAAAGGGTGGGTTCCGTAAAAACTAATGACGCATAGATGTTTCGATTATCCGGTTTATTCGGATGAGACGCTAAGCCATGTACATCGAGTATCGTGCAACGATAACGGACACGCCGGCACGTAATTCGTACACGAGTGCACTTCGATGTATGTATTGAAACGGCGTATGATTTAGTAGCAAGTTATTACTTCAACGTGATTTCCGCGTTCGATTATTGCAAATTGGGCAAATTTAATTAGCGAGTCTGAAAATGTTTCGCCTCCATTCTTCTCGCTTACCCGATTTTACCGCGGAACGTATTAAATGCTAAAAAATTTATTTTCAGTTTTGACTTTATAATCATATTTTCAGTACTTTACAATCGATAAAATGTATTATGCCACGTTGTATGTATACACGTTGTATTTCACATGTTATTGTGCCTCTCCCTTTTTAAGAATAGCAATCCGCATTTCTTTTAATAAGTTGCGCACGTAGATAACGTCAAAGAAATTTAAGTAACTTATTTCGCAAAATTACAGAATAATATTTTTCTTCCTCCAGCATATAGTCGTATATAAGCGACCTTTCTCGCACAAAATATCTCGTGCCGGTATAACGAAGGACATAATGCAAATATTTAATAGTATGCGCGAAACTTAGGGATAATAAAGAGAAGAAGAGCATATTCGAAACGGCAAATTCAAATTAATCTCAAACTATCTATAAAAGTATCTATCGAGAATGTTAAATTTGATGGTATATCGAATATTACTGTAAAAGAAATTAAATATCAGTTTCAGTATCTTTTTAATAATAATACAAGTGCAATGAAAACTAAAGCGTCAATTATGAGAGCATAATTAGTAGTAATAGAATTGCAAAAAATAATCTCTTTCAATGACTCTAAAAAATAAATAAGTTTTAGCGCTCGAAATTTTAATTTTAAAATTAAAAGAAATATTTAAATTGTTTAAAGAGAACGTCACAAGCCAATTAATTCTTTACCTCGAGATTTTATGCTTGCAGTTTTACTACAAATAATTACACACTTATAGTTTTCTTTTCTTCAGCCAGCTTTTTCTTTTACTATTATAATTTTATATTAAAAAAAAACTTTTTTTCTCTTAATCCATTTGAATTTTTACTATTGCAATTACCGTGAAAAGAGACTTTTAACAGTTCGCCAGCTATCCGCGGATTAAGGGTTAAAGAGACTTTACGCTACTTGCGCGCGTTGCTCCCAATATAATCGTTCGTGCGGGGGTGTTTACGAAGGGACGTCGCGCCGGGTGCAACGCGCCATAGTCTCGCGCACTATTAAAAGCGGCGCTCGGCGATGTGTGTGCGTGGCGACTATTAAACCGCTCCCGCTATAAGTAAATTCGCGAGAACTACTCATGCCGCCGGCCATAAAAGTTAATCTTCGCCGCTCTTTCTCGCGCACGGCTATTCCCGCGCGTCCCTTCCACCACCCCCCCCCCCGTCCGAGTTGAACGATGCGGAAAGCGAAATCCGTATTTCTTTCGACGCTACCTCCTCGGCCGGGGTGGATAGCGAGACGCCGTGGGCGCGTGGGAGAAAAGAAAGATAAGGAAGCTCCGGGAGAGGGGAAAGGAGAAGGTGGCATGGTAAGTAAAGGGAGGTCGCGACGACCTACGTCTTACCTTTTTCGTCCGTTTGGCAGTAACCCAACAGAGAGGCTGTTACCGCTAAGAACATTAGCAGTCCCATGTCGGTGAGAAACGTTGGCCTTTTCCTGTGCATCTTCTTTTATTCAGCCAACCCCGTTCCTGTCCACCACCTCCCGCAGACTCCCTGTAGACTAGCCGCGCACTCTCTCTTCCACTTCCGCGGGGTGAAACAGCAGGCAGCACCGGTCTGACGAACGACCTCACGGACCGGCTCTTAAGGTATATCGATTTCACGTGACGGGGGTTACAAAACGCTATTTACGGGGCAGAGCGGGCTAAGATTCGAACGTACTTTTCCCATCCATTTCTTGCTCGTATGTCTTCCCCGTCACGCACATCGCACGCGAAATCTTCCTCCTCTCTTGCTCTTCCGCGGTTCCGACGTTCGACGTCAACGAAAGAATCACGACGTTCGAATTGAGACGCTTCTCGCGGACGTTTATCGATCGTAGATCGGGGCGCGCGGCGCATCCGTCGGGACGTTAACGTGGGGCTGATTTAGTGGAAAAGTGCAAAAGCCGCCGAGTGCTCCCACGAACGTAGTCGTCGTCGTCGTCGTCGTCGTCGTCGTTCTCGCGGGGTAATCGTATCTCCCAGGATGCGGCGCGAACGGCACGAAAGCTGGCATCTCGTTGCACGTATTCCCTTCGGTCTCTCGTGCCGCACCGTCGCCGATTCGCGCGGATCTGAAAGAACCACACCGGCGCACAGCTGCAAAAGGACGACCACGCAACGTGCAGATTTCTCGTTCTCGTTCACGTGCGTGCCGCGTACTCCGCCAGACCAAGGCTTTGAGTTCGCAGGCACGTACACGCTCGTTGCAGAAAGCTCGCACTCGTTGCGAAAACTCGGGTCAAAGCATTGAACACCGTGAAGCAGGTGCGTCGCACTTCTGGGAGTTTCCGAGCAAAAAAAGAGAAAGATGTCTTATTTAACAAATCCATTATGATAATGAAAATAAGATAATTTATTAATAAAAAATTAATGCAATTAACACGAGTTCATAAAGTATGTCGAATTGATATTGGCTACATTACTTTCATTGTACTAAAAACGAGCAAAATAATTCTAATAAATTAAACTTTAAATTTTATGAAATTTTAAAAACATTTATCGCTACTAAAAATTTTAACAGTGGTTATCGATGTGAACAAGCTTTAAAAAAGTTCACAAAAATTCGTTCTGTGCATATTACTCCGAAACTTCCTCCGCGGAATGTCTTAGAATCACTGTAGGATAAGAATTGGATGCAAGCCTTCCCTCTTGAGATTTTCGTGCAAGTAGCGAGCGATTATTTTATCATTTTATATTTGTTTTAATCATGTAAATATGCAGACGGTTATGAGAGTTCTCGCCGAAGTTTTCGCGAAGAATTATTTTCAGGATGAAAAAGCAGCAACGTGCCGCGTGAGGCTATTGTTCAAAAGCATCATAATCTCGGTGAGCCTGCAAAAAGCAATAAACGTAAAGCTAATATTTTTTTACGAAGATATTTGCGAGCCCGTTATTAACGACGGAATTAATACACTCGTGACTTTTAAAAAACAGTTCTAAAGGAAATATCGATGGTAGCTGCTCGAAGATACGTTCCGGATAATTATTGGAAATCATTCTTGGCGTTACTTGATGAATCTCAATGCCGCTGCGCTGGAATACCGCAGCTGTTTCGATAGTTACTCATAATGCATCGAGCAGCAGCGAGATTCGGAGTAACGTATTCTTGATAATCCAGTCGATATAATCATGGAGCGAGAGAAGCTCCATTTCAGTCAATCGACGTGTGTGCGCGAATCATACGCGAGAACGAATCTCGCGCACGTCGCATCGGCTGTCATCTAAAATAATTATTCCCTGTCGGAAGCGAGAGAGGCGGCATCGCCGCTCGCTTTCCCGCAGCCACGAGAATTACCGTGGTTGAAATTAAAACCCCGCTTGAAACCCCGGCGTTTCTCGTGCGCGGCTCCGTGAACGGCACGACGGAGGGCGGTATTTTTCCGCGGTGCGAGAGCCCACTTGCATTCCAAATGTGCGAACGCGGAGCTTCCGCGCGATAAGAAGTTTTCCGCATGGAGTAAAAGAGGGACTTTCACACCGCGAATCTAAACATTTAAACGATCCTGTGCCAGCCCGCAACTTGGCACTCTCCTCCCTTTCGCTTTACCATTGGTTTACTTCGGGAGTTCTCGTGAGGAATAGAGAGAGAGAGAGAGAGAGAGAGAGAGAGAGAGAGAGAGAGAGAGAGAGAGAGAGAGAGAGAAGAA